CTGTAGCGGAGGGCTTCGGCCTCAGCGACTTCTGCCAAGAGCGCTGTGCCTAGTGACACATCCGTGCCCTAACTTACTGACTGGCAATTAGAACCTAGGGGGGGTAACTCTAGTTGATTTTTCTACTGGGGTGTAACCTATGTACAAGTGGGATATATATATGGTTACAGCGGAGACGGTTCCGCAATTGGCGGAGCTGAACGGAGCGGAGCTAACAGGGTTTAACCATTAGCCGACTGAATATTACCGACGAGTCGGTTCGCAGGGTTAGCAGAAAGGCAGGCGATAACCCAGAAACGGAAAGGAGGGATAAGCCCGAAGGTGGACTCTGCAGGGCAGGCGAGTGTATTGCCCAGTGGAGGTGGGGGTGCGCTAGCAGATGTCGGAGCTGTCCGGAAGTCTTCGGGGCTCTGTACTTAGGGAGGCGTAGGTAATAAATTGAAATGAGGGGGTGGTGACCATCGAGGGGTACCGAGAGGATTGCGGAATAACGGGGGCTCCGAGGTTAGTGAGGGAGGAGCGGAGTTGGAACGGAGGGATCGGAGGGACCGGAAGTCGATGGCCGGGAATGGATATGACACACTGGAAGGCTCTGAAACCACAACAATAAGGAATGTTTGCTGTTTTGCCATGTTTAAATTGTTGACACCTAGCTTGTGCTCATCATCATGTGGCTGATGGCAGAGGCACAGGATATCAAGAATCATTGAGGTAATGTCTTGATATATCTGGAAGCAAAGTATTACCACCGAAACCAATGGAAGGAGTGACTAGAGTATGGATTGATATGATAGGCCTGGATATTCCGAAAGCAGGACTCTGAAGTCACTGTTGGGTCACACACCTCTCCAAATACAGGTGCAAGAGGGCAAATTCCCTTCACACGAGAAAGCTGGATAATCCCAGACTTTCAGCGTCTGTGCATGTCGAATTCTTGAGTAACCTAATACATTTTTGTATCTCGATGGGGCTGTGTAGGAATAGGTGAGTACCAAAGCACATGTGCAAGCAGTGGGCCACTGTGATCAGGATGTTGCTTGTTGACTCGACATCAGAATATCAGCTGAAGCTCTGCTGGATGGTAGCCTGCAGAACGATGTTGAATTATCATTGGGATTCAGGTCAGGAAATGGGGGTACTCATGATGTAATCCTTCCAATGCAGGGTTTACTTCAACCAGCACTGGTGAGAACCGTGCAGGCTGCATTCCATTTTTCGGTTTGCAACGAATTCCGCTTCAGAAAACTTATCACAGGGTGGGGTAGCAAGCTGAACATGGTTCCACACATCAACAAATTTATACTTTTCTGCAAGTTGGCCAATAGTGTACTCCCATTGACATCTGGGCACGGACCTGTCATAGCCTTGAAAGTCCACCATCCAGCAGATCGATGAGATAAAATCCAGTGAGTCGTGCAATTCGGCAAGCTTCTCCACAGGACAAGCTTGATGATGTGGATCTTGGGATATTTTGATGCAAAGTGGGACTCCAGCAATGCCATGACCAATGTTCGCTTCACATTCAGCTTGAGGATCTGGGGCAGCGGAATTTGTGACTTCCTGTGAGAGAATGAGTCTCTTGTCAGCATAACTGTATCAGGATGTGCTCACAGTACATGTTTGATTTTTTTATCCTTGATCAATATTCCTCATATGACCAATGCAAGGCTAAGTGATTGTGAATTCCAAGGTAATTGATGATTTACTCATCATACTCTCAGCGATTTGACGCATGATAAGGGTCTTTGCACATTTCCACATGCGAAGACTCAGGGGTCTCCATAGAAAAATTCAGTAACTCATGAAAAGTGATAGATGCTCCATGGGCTCCATGGAATTTCATGAAAATTCATGAAGATTCATGGGATTCTATGGGATTCCATGGGATTTGTTGAAATTTCATGAAATTTCATGGATTTTCATGGAGTTCCATGGATTTTCTGACAAATTACATGACTTTTACAGCCTCCCATGGGTGGTCATGGGCTTCTGTGGATGTTCATGGACTCCCATGGGCATTCATGGACTCTCATGGGTACCCATGGATGCTCATGAACTGTCAGGGCACACCCGCCTGACCCGGCTCCACCCGGCCCAACCTGACCCGGTACCCCGCCGGTCCACCCTTCCTTACCTCCTCCCCCTTTCCCTTCTTCCCCCTCATCCTCCCCTCCTCAGTTTCTCCTTATCTTACTTCTCCTTTATTCTCTCTTTATTCTACATGGACGACTTTCTCTGTATCAATGTACAACTGACCCATCTGCAGCGCGCCCACCATGTACCTGGCCCGGGCACCTTGGGCGACTTCCTGCTGTGCCCAGCACGCGCACCTGCACCGGATACCCTCGGGATCTCCCACGGAGACACCTGGGTGGTTACGGCTGTGTGTGAGGGTGACGTGGCATCCATCATGTGATCCAAGCTGCATGTATATAAACGAACCTGAAGTGGGAACCGAAGAATAGCCTTCTTCTCAACTTTCCACTTCAGTCTAAGTGGCCAGGGACCACTGTCCCGCATCGGGCCTGTCAGTACGCACACCCGATCCGCCCCCCGCCAGGCTCTCGGTCCCGGACGCTATACCCGGACCCCCTCGACCCCGGACGAGTCCCTGACATGAACTCCCAAAGGCCATTTATGTAACAGCTTCTATGTGCTTGTTATTTTGCTCTGTTACAAGGATTTGACACTCAATGCTGCCACAGTGATGTGCAGATGGTCAGAGCAGAGGGGGGGGGTTTCCATTGTTCAATCAAGTGTGAAGCAAATATTGCCATAATTAATGATGAAAGTTACTGAAGACAGGTAGCACTGACATGTCTATATTCACCAATACTATTTAAATAAATTTTGCTATGATCAAAACTGATGGAGATGTATGCATGTTTTTCCCTGGGCTCCTCACATGTATGATGCACCTATGATTGGTTGTAAGGATTGTATTCCCCACCCTTAACCATATATGTAGCCTCATTATGGCATGTACTGATGGACTGGGAGTGTGAGGCTACACCAGTGCTTAAACAAGCACACCAACATATTCAGTGGACACTTGCAGTTGTGGCACAAAAATCAAAGTTCATATTTATTATTATAGAAATGGGATTTTCCCATTTTTAGCCTCTTACAGGCTCTGTGGAGTACAGTATCCCATGCCATGTACATAGTTAGTATCCAACAACTATCATCACACAAAACCTGACCCAACCATGTTATTGTAACCCCAGCTCTCACAACCTCTCATTATCTGTAGAATCATCCCTATGCTGACCCCCTATCCTGCACCCAAAACCTATGGAAATGGACCAATTCAGCCCCACAGTTCTAACATTTATACAGACTCCTGTCGTCAAAGACTGGATTTGAAAGGGAGGTATGACTCAGTGTTCAGAGGGCTTTGGCCTCAGCAACTCAAGCCAGGAGCACTGTGCCCAGTAGCATGTTGGGGCCCTAATTTGCAGATACATGGGAAGTCTAGGTGGAGGGCCCATAAATGGCAGGAACCAGGTGGAGCTGACATAACAGGGTCAAGGGTTAGTCAACTGAATATTACTGGCAACTTGGGTTACAGGTTTAACAGACAACAACCCAAAAGGAGAATGGCCAAAGGCAGACTTTCAGGGCAGGCAACTAAATGGCCCAACAGAGTCAGGGGTGTGCTTGTGGACATTGGGGCTGTCTGGAGGCCTTTGGGGTTCCATACTTAGGTAGGTGTAAGTAATATATGGAAATGGGGAGGTGGTGACCATTGGGGGGCTCTGAGGTTGGTATGAGTGGAGCAGAGGTAATCAGGGATGGCTGGAGGTGATAGAATGTTATGGGGATGGGGGGAAATCCCCATTCCCCGATCCATTCTTATAGCAGGATGACGAACGTTGTATCTAGTCTGTACCATAATGGGATATGTAATTGATGAGTGATCCCAGTCTTGCATGGGAGTGGATGATTGAATTCCCATTGATCGTGATTGGTGATGTAGTGAGCTATTAAGGAATTGATGGTAGGTAGTCGGAGACGTCAGGATGGACAGGTCAGCCACGGGTACTTGGCACTCCTCAATGGAGCGTACTGTGTGCACAGCCGTGACTCGTGTGGTGGGTGAGAACTTCATATAACTGCCATCGGTTACTTGGTGTTCGCAGCACGAACATACCAGTAGCAGGTTGATATCATGAGCATGCAATGAGGATTGACTAACGGGGCCTTCAGTGACTTGGCATTCCCAATGGGAACGTACCGTTGGCAGGGGAATATGATGACTGACGAAGGAGGGAACAGACAGTGGATGGACAGCTACTTGGCGTTTGCATAGTGAATGTGCCGGCATCATGGGAAAGTGGACCTCAGAGTATTCACGATCTCCAAGATCGTGATGTGACGTCGATCGTCAAGCACTGGGGGGGAGCGGAGTGATGAAGTCCCATAGGGTACAGATTCCATAGGATGATATACATGTCGAGAGTCTTCGACTCGTGACCTCGAGTTCTCATGGCAAGGACCATTAGAGGACTTGACATGACCAGACTTATAAGACATGTTGTGAGTTGTACAGTCACACAGGTTCAGTTGAGTCACAGGAAGGGTTGTTACAGAAGACGACACACAAGACAGTTGTAGAGAGTAGTAGTTAGTTAGCGGGAACTGCCTTCGGCGGTTTCCGTACAAGACGTGTGACTTGCACTGTCATGGACTTCTGTGGACCTCCATAAACATCCATGAACATTCATGGACATTCATGGTACCCATGGAATTTCACAGAAATTGGAAGATAATGTTGTACATGGGCTTTCATGGGCTTTCATGGGCTTTCATGGGCTTCCATGGGTGTCCATGGGTGTCCATGGGTGTTCATGGCCCCCCATGAAAATCCATGAAAATCCATGAAAGCCCATGAAAGCCCATGGAAAGCCATGAAAGCCATGGATATCCATGGAGCCCATGGGAGATATTACACTTTTCAGATGTTACTCCACGATTGTTGGCTTTTTCATGCCCTGCAATCACAGGCAAGATGGACTTTTGGTATGTGCGATGTTCTTGTCCAGAAGCCTGGGAGATTTTTGAGATTCCCCCAGTAAAGCGGCGATAGTGAAGTGGTGGTTGTGCAATAAATCGCTGGTCAAGTTCAGCTTCACTAAGTTCTCCATCCATTTGCCTGGGTGGTCCCATATGAATTTGTGTATTCCGTGTAAGATATCCTGTTTGATGAAGACAAATGGCTCAATACCAAGACCCTCCCAACATGGATTCTCAACTGAACCAGAAAGCCCCAGCTTAAGCTTCTTCACTTCCTGCTTAAACTCATAGACCATTGCAGTGGGAAACTTCTCTCAAACTGACCTGAGTGCTGAAAGAATCATCTCACCAGTACGAACACCAAAGCACTCGTGCTGTTCACGATTCTTGTATCCAGCACAGCAGACTGGTCAACTTAGACTCTGCACCCCAATGATAAGCAGCTGCTCTTCTAGGTCGGTAATCCAGGCCATCAGAATGGCCACACAGAGGCGAAGTTTACCATCAGGTGATAGTACAATCTGGTACATCCTTTGATCAACTCTGTCATATCCATCCCTGGCCATCGACTTCCGGTCCCTCCGATCCCTCCGTTCTAACTCCGCTCCTCCCTCACTAACCTCGGAGCCCCCGTATTCTGCAATCCTCTCGGTACCCCTCAATGGTCACCACCCCCTCATTTCAATTTATTACCTACGCCTCCCTAAGTACGGAGCCCCAAAGACTTCCGGACAGCTCTGACGTCCGCTAGCACACCCCCGCCTCCGCTGGGCAATACACTCGCCTGCCCTGCAGAGCCCACCTTCGGGCCTATCCCTCCTTTCTGTTTCTGGGTTATTGCCTGCCTTTCCGCTAACCCCACGAACCGACTTGTCGGTAATATTCAGTCGGCTAATGTTTAAACCCCGTTAGCTCCGCTCCGTTCGGCTCCGCCAATTGCGGACCCATCTCCGCTGTAACCATATATATATCCCACTTGTACATAGGTTACACCCCAGTAGTAAAATCAACTAGAGTTACCCCCCTAGGTTCTAATTGCCAGTCAGTAAGTTAGGGCATGGATGTGTCACTAGGCACAGCGCTCTTGGCAGAAGTCACTGAGGCCGAAGTCCTCCGCCATGGAGACATTCCTTCGTCTCGAATCTGGTCTCTGACAAACTCTTAGTGGTGCAAGCACCCATCTCATAGATTCATGAAATAGGCGATGAGAGAAGATCCCTGGAATCGCCTCTTGTTCCGACTTGCTTCCTGAAAATTGAGTCTTCGAAAACTTCAACACTGGAATCTTTGCAAGTAGCAGCCATGCCCGGGCATTTCGTCGCTTTCTGGCATCCTTGCTGATGTTCCCAAGAGATATGTAAACAGCATGCATCTTCTGGTCTCCAGTAAAGTTTGTTAGGTGTGTATGATCTGATGCAAGAATGATGCCAAGAATTGTGGAGCCTTGTTTGACCAATGACTAGAAGCGGTGTGGAGAAGTGTGCCAATAAGCATCATCCGTTCCCTCTCAAGCTTCCTGCTTACCTGCTGATAGTGCCATTCCTCTGCAGCTGTCATCTCTGTAAAGACTCGGTCTCCATTTGAGTCAAATAGGTGCAAAGGAGCATATGTCATGGACTCCTTAAAGTCGGGATTTTGAAATAGGAAGTGAGCACATTCCACAGGGTCACGCCAGTACAGGGTTTGTGGTTCTGATGGGGCTTCTTTCACAATGATAACCTCTGACTTCCACGAAGGACCAGGCATTTCTCTGATGCGCTGGTACAGTGTTGATGCATCCTGCCAACTCGGAGGATGAGGGTGGCCATTAACCTAATTTGGGAAGTAGGTTTTTTTTGGGTGTCATATCCATCCCCGGCCATCAACTTCCGGTCCCTCCGATCCCTCCGGTCTACCTCCACTCCTTCTTCACTAACCTCGGAGCTCCTGTATTCCGCAACCCCCTCGGTACCCCTCGATGGTCACCACCCCCTCCTTTCAATTTATTACCTACACCTCCCTAAGTACGGAGCCCTGAAGGCTTCTGGACAGCTCCGATGTCCGCTACCACACCCCCACCTCCACCAGGCAATACACTCGCTTGCCCTGCAAAGCCCACCTTCGGGCCTATCCCTCCTTTCTGTTTCTGGGTTATCACCTGCCTTTCCGTTAACCCTGTAACCCAACTCGTCGGTAATATTCAATCAGCTAATGTCTAACCCCGTTAGCTCCACTCTGCTCAGCTCCACCAATTGCAGACCTGCCCTCGTTGTAACTATATATATACTCAACTTGTACATAGGTTACACCTCAGTAATAAAATCGACTAGAGTTTACCCCCCTTCAGTTCTGGTTGCCAGTTTAGTAAGTTAGGGCATGGACATGTTACTTGGCACAGCGCTCCTGGCACAAGTTGCTGAGGCCGAAGCCCTCCGCCACGGAGACATTCCTTCATCTCAACCTGGTCTCTGACATTGGGCTATCAAGTGAGAAGCTGGCTTACCCATCGAAGTTTTCGGAAATGATCAATAGCACCTTTTGAAATTCCCTCAGTGCTTAACCAATAGCTAAGTTCCCATTCTTCCTTGCTCTGAAATGGGGCGAACGGCTGACCCTCATCTTTGTTCCCTGCAAGTTTATCCCACAAAGTCTCTCCCTCATCATGGAGAGGTTTCCCAGCGTGGGGGTTTACTACGATTCGGGTGCTGAGGGTGACTCTGTCTGAACTTCAGTTGTGTCGGCATGTGGAGAATTAGGAAAGTCAGCACTAGGAGAGTCGGTGCTGGGAGAATCCCCAAGTCCGACCTGAGGGGACTGGCCAGGTTCGTCTGTTTCCCCAAAAGAAGCATTGCCGGAAGTGTCAGCCGCCCGGCCACCTGGAGAATCATGAGAAGCACCACCAGAATGTGTAAGTCTTTGGTGCTTGGCCTGTTGAGTAGCATGCTGATGTTTGCACTGGCATGGAATACTCCACCACAGGTGGTTCACCAGCCCGCCACCCTGGCACTGGCATTTCTCAAGACACCATGGGCAGTGTTCATGATTTTTCCAATGAGCACCGAGGTTGAAGCCATTGTCTTGCAAGCAAGCAGACTTAATCTGAAATAGAATAAGATCTGGGTGATCAAATTTTCCTTAAGTCTGTACACTCCTCTCAAATTTCGACTCAAAAATTTTCAGGTCTAACAATGAGTGGCCAAACGTGCTCTTCATCTGGCATTTCAAAGACGAAGAAAAAGGATTCTAAGAATGTTGCAGACCCTGCCTTACCTCTGCCTCAGTCGCAAGTTTGTCAGACCAACAGGAGCAATGCCGCTGCCAAGGCCTGGGAGACCCAACGTGCAAAAGCTGCTGCTGCTAAGGATGCGAGTCCCAATCCTGAGGCCGTTGAAGGAGAGAATGAAGGAAGGTCAGTTGGGAGGTTCAAATGAGACCACCACCAAGCTGTTCCCTGGTTCTTTAGTTAGCATGGGGAAGTGTACTAGTAATATTTGTTGTAATTATAGTACCAATCCGAGTGTTTTGGCTAATTCTATTTTTATGGGTTAGTCTAAAAGTTTCTGGGAATTGACTTACAGATAAACCGAGCCCTGCGGAGCTGTTCCTTTATTGAAATTTCTTAATTTGTCTAGGTGTAATTCTGTGTAGCATTGTTTAATTTGGAAATTAACTTGAATTAAATCTTCTACTTGATGAAGTTTCAAAGATTCTACTCAGTTAATGGATTTAGATTGTGTCTGGAGTGTCCCTTGAGTTTGTTTCATTTTTGTCTTATTTTATTGCTTGTTTTAACAGTAGCAAAATAACTGTTTTGTGTTTACACTTTGAAATCTGGAGTGTTAACCAGCTCTCCTGTTGAAATATCTACTTAATATTTCCCTCCTTAATTGCTGCCTTTTACTACAATGGCAATCTTAACTGTATATCACTTTTTTGCGCTGGAGTGACACCAGAAATTGTTATAAAAATGGGGCCTAATTGGCCCATTTCTATAGCGTTTGGGTGCAGGAGGGGGCTGTGACATTGAGAAGATGTTACAATTAATGTAACAGATGTTGTAACAGTGGTGTTTACAATAACATGGACATTGGGTGTTTTGGGTGATAATTGTTGGTTCGGTTGTTATTATTTACATGTCACGTGATATTATACTGCTTAGTGCCCATAAGAGGCTAAAAATGGGAGAATCCCATTTCCATAACAGAAATGCTTGAGAAAAATAATACTCTATTTTCTTACTTCTCTGAGGGGGGCGAAAAGTTGCAGAAAGGGTCTCCCTTTTATACTCCTTGGGTCACCTTCCTTTTTCATGCTCTACCTCGTATTTACAGGATTGATTTACAGTGTATTTTTCTCAAACTGAATAAAAAATGAAAATTTCACGCTATAGTTCTACTGTGCTCTGCTGTGCTGAACTGCAGCTCTACTGCAGTCAGACTGCAGCTAGAATCCTTATTGTCCTTCCTTGCCTAAACTATTTTAATGGTTAATTAGAACTTGACTGCGCTGCATTTGTCACAGTTTCCTATTTCAAATTCCTCATATTTACCATTAAGTTCGCTATGACTCGGTGATTCTGAATTCAAACTTCGCATTACTATGTGTACAGCTGTGCTGAGACCTTCAGCTGATTTATTCCATTTTCATCCAGCGACATTTAGTTAAAATGAGACTTGAAATGGTAAATGAGTGAATTATTCAGGTTTAGAACCAAAAGAAAAAGTTGCTAGTAGTCAAGAATTACTCAAATGAATGTATTATAGCTCTCCACTTCATTAGAATATTGTTCCCTAAAATTCCCGCCATGGTCCGTCATAGTTTAGTGGTTTTCGTAGATTTCATTCATCTCCCCTGATTCCCCTTTGTATTATCACATCCTAGTCCTCCATATGCATTGTTCGTTGTTATAGTAGGCCGTCCTCGAAGACACCATATTTTTATGTATTTTATTTAGGGCTCTGGACCTCTTGAAGCTGTCTTCCCGCGCATTTTCAGGTTTCTAACTTCATGTCCTTGTATCTCATTCATTTCTGGATGGTTTTCACATTCTTGGTATCATAAATTTTCATTTATTCCCACCTTTCCAATGGTACTAAAGTTGTGTTCTATTTCCTGGTATTCGTCGAGTTAGCAAAAGTTCGCATGCACATTCAGTAATCATGTGCATCATTCCTGTAGTCGTTCGTATGGGGGCACCGTTTCTGTTTAATTGTTCGGGATTTACGGTGTGCGTGGGTGTTTGTATCCTTCATATGGGCTTCCGTGATTTATTTCAGATTTTTCCCTCATGATCTAAGGTTGTTTTGCACTTTCCATGCTTTGTTTTGACCGGGCTCTTCCTTATTTGGATGGAAATTGGTCTTCGTGATCTGCCAAAGTGTGGATCTCAGTTCCGACGGCCGGTTCCCTTTGCATTGCCACCTCACATGTCTTTAAACATGATGCGGACTTCTATATTCCCATCGTTGGTATAACTTCACAATGGCTGGACCGTTTGGGCTGAAAATTTGCATAACTATAGTTCCCTATTTATCATAATTTCCGTGTAAATTTCGTTGTATGTTTTAATTATGGATCCTACGTAAACATCGTCTTTTCCCTGTGCCCAGACTTTTGATGTCGCTATTCCCGTTATTGGTTATCTCATTAATGCGTGATCCTTCTATTATGAAAATTTGGGTGGATTACGATTAGATCCCTTCCTTTCTAATGGACCATCAAGCTCGTCTCGGTCGTTACTGGTTGTTCTTCGCACTTGCCTTTTAAACGTTGTCCTCATTTTCTGGGAGTTTTAGTCATATCTCCGTCATTTATGGGTAGTTTTCCCTGTAATTACTTTCATTGGGTCCGTTTGGGAGACATCTACATTGCCTATTATAAACACGACTTTGAATTTTGCATTAGTTCCTAAGGAATCCTTGTTCCGTGGCACTTCCATCCTCAGCTACATGTGCGGACATGGGAAAGTAGTTTCCATGGAGGTTCTCTGGTTGTTTTTATACTCAAATCTTGGTCGATTGTCCTAATTCTTGGTTTAATATTTGCTATAAATTCCCCCGAGAATCCCGTCTTGTTGATGCTAAGCTTGAAGTATTTTTGCTAATTTTCTTTCTTCCATTTTATCGTATGTAGTCGTAATAATTCGTAAATTTCCCAAAATTTCATTAAAATTCGGGTTCTTCTATTTTCTCATATCTACTTGTCATATGGGGTTTTGTGATTTATCTGGCATATTTCCATCCTGGGTTTCCATAGTGTGACCGTTATTTCTCCTACACTGTGCAGGCCACTGCCACACAGAGTACTTGTGAGTGTAATCTTCATTCTTTTCTTGAAGTGCTGATAGCGCAAGTCATACTCCCAGTTTCGAATGGGGAAGCAGCGCCATGTGGAACCCAGCCAACCCCAGTGCAAGATAAGCCTGTGCAGTGGCATTCAGCTTGCACCCGTTATCATGCACTCCCTCTAACCATTCATGATCACTATAAGAGCACTGTGGACTCGGATGGCCCTGTCACAAACGTGCATCTGTTTTCTACTTAGGCTTTATACTCAATTAATACTATGTAATATACTACTCAATAAGGTCCCCTATCTGTCAGGGATGCGTCCGGGGTCGAGGGGGCCCGGGTGTAACACCCGGCACTGAGGCCATTGCGAGGTGTAGAGTGGGCATGCATAGTGACGGGCCCGATCTGGGATGACGATCCCTGGCCACTCAGACTGAAGTGGGGACTGTGAGAAGAAGGTTACTTCTTCGGTTCCCACCCCAGGTACCTTTATGTACATGTGGCTTGGGTCACATGAGGTTTGCCATGTCATCCCACATACAGCCACAGTCATCCAGGTGTCCCTGTGGGGGATCCTGAGGGTGTGTGCTGCACGTGCACGTGTTGGGTTGCACCGTGAGGCCACCTGGGTCGTCTGGGGCTGGGTGCGTCATGCATGCGTCACGGGCAGGTCGATAATACATAGATGAGGGGAAATGTCATCCATGTAGATAAAGATAGAAGAAAGAGCAAGACAGTAAAAGAACAGAAGGACAAAAGGAAGAACAAGAAGTGAGAAACAATGGTGAAGGGTGAGGGGTGGAGGTGAGTGGGGTACCGGGTGAAGGTGGGTGGAGCCGGGTCGGGCAGGTGTGCCCTGACATCACCCCCTCCTTAAGCCGCTTCGCCTCGAAGCGGCCAGGGGGTTCGTTCTCTCCCTCCCTGGGGCATGGGGGTGTGTCTGGTGGAACTCTTTGATCTGGTCAGGGGCATGGGTTAGTTGGTCTCGGGGGAGCCATTCATTTTCCGAGTTCAGCCAGCCTGCAAACTTTACTAAATACCAGAGCTTCCGGCGTAACCCCTTAGAGTCCAGTATTTTCTCTACTTCATATTCCTCCTCTCCATCTACGAGTTCTGGGCCTGGGTGGGGGTCAGGGGGTCGCTCTGCAATCTCGTCTGGGCGGTATGGTCTTACGTTTGTCACAGATACAACTGGGTGTATTCCCTTCTGCCGTGCGGTGAGCTGGAGTTTGACAGCAGCCGGGGAGACAACTTGAAGGGGCCTAGCCATTTATGGTCTAGTTTCTTGGTCGGGCGGTCAGTTGTATAGTTTTGGGCGCTGAGCCAGACCCGGTCACCCTCCTGATAGTTGGGGGCTGTCTCTCAGCTCCGGTCATAGAAGCGGGCCATCTCATCCACTGCATGCTCCAGAGCTGCCTTCACCTCTTCCTGCATCTTCATCATCCTGGATGAGAAAGTGTCAGCAGCTTCTACCTCGGACGTATGTGTGGGTTCCGTCCCCATCCTGGGATGCTGCCTGGTGTCAAGTTCAAAGGGGGTTCGACAGGTGGATGAGTGGACACGGTTGTTGTAGGTGAACTCTGCCAGTGGGAGCCAGTCCGCCCAGTCGTCCTGGTGGTGGTTGACAAACACCTGGAGGTAGGCTTCGATTTCCTGGTTGACCCGCCCTGTCTGTCCATCGGTTTGGGGGTGGTAGGGCGTTGAGGGGGTCAGCTTGACCCCTAGGAGGTCTGTGAGTTCTCTTGAGAAGCGCGAGACGAAGGCACTCCCTTCGTCACTGAGGATTTCCTCTGGGAGTCCGTGATGCCTCCAGACATGCTCCAGGAAGAGCCGGGCGATACCAGCCGAGTCTACAGATGTCACAGTGGGGACCGCATGGATACGCTTGGATAGATGGTCTACTACGACTAGGATGGCATTATAACCGTTCGACTCTGGGAGCTCTCCCACCATGTCTACTGAGATCACCTGCCAGCGGTGGGTAGGGACTTTGTTTGGGGTGAGCTTCCCAACCTTCCGTGTGGGGAAGGATTTGATGTGGTTGCAGGTTTTGCATCCACATTGTAATGGTTCTATCAATCTAGACTCGCAACTCAGGTCTAGGGGGGGTAGGTCTCTCTCTATCTCTCAAGTAGATGTGGGTCCTGCGAGTATGGTGCTGATACTCTGTCTAACTTCTAACTAACTGTCTGTACAGTTGTCATGGAAGAGTCCGATACAAATAGAAAAGGAAAGTCACATGTGTGAATGAATGAAAATAGTAAAGATAATAAAGAAAATGTCATATCTCCTCAACAACCCAACCAAATCCAACGATCTCAGACTCGTCAGAATTACCTCTACAACCTCTACAACTCCTACTATTACCCCGACTCACCAATCCTAATCCCTGATGCAGTAAAGGGTGAAGTGTGCAATGAGGCTCGTTTTAACCCACACAGACTTGTCCCCACAACCACGTACATATCGCCCAACGTACTCTGCCATCCGAGGCCACTAGTAGTTGCGGGAGACGAGTTCCAGGGTTTTCCATCACCCTGGATGTCCCGTTGCCCACGTGTCATGGTGTAGCTGTACCAGATCGTGTGTTACAAAAATGGGGCCGGAAGCGCCCATTTTCGTCCGTTCTGGCACAGGAATAGGGAAGGGGGTTGGACATAAGGGTTTACAGGTTGTTTCACAGATGGTTTAACATGTTGTTGAACAGGTAGTGTGGCAGCAGGTTTTTGTTGATTAATGATTGGTTTAAACTATATTACTATATAAATCACATGATACAGAACCCATAAGAGTCTAAAATGGAAATTCCCATTTCCATAACATCGTGGCAGAGTTGTGGGTCTTTTGGAACATACACTCTGCCTCGGTAAAGGACCAGCTCTCCCTGTCTCTCCCATTTGTCCGACCTAACATCCCTTCTACTAATTCCCTCATGGCTTTCACCACCTGCTCGTCATGATCCTTCGCTCCTCGTATCCTCTCCAGAATATCCACTTCCTCGCCTTCCACTGAGACTGCCTCTGTCGCACAGACCTCGAACCAAGCCAGTTGGAGGAGTGTCAGCCCCTCGTTGTCGTCTCTTCCCTTTGGGTGGTCAGCACAGTGGGAGAGTGCATCTGGTTTCCCCATGAGCTTCCCTGGGCGGTGGACGAGGGTGAAATGGAAGTGGGAGAGGAAGAGGGACCATCGAGCCTGGTGCCGATTCAGCCTCTGGGCTGTCCGGAAATAGCCGAGGTTACGGTGGTCGGTGTAGATCTTGACTTTCTCTTCAGCACCTTCCACGAAGTGCCACCATTCTTCGAGGGCTCGGACGATTGCAAGCATCTCTTTGTCATACACCTCATAGTTGCGCTCCACATCCGTGAAACTTTTGGACATGAATGCCACCAGGTGGAATTCCCCATCCGGTTGGAGTTGGGAGAGCACCGCACCAGTTGCAAAGTTGGATGCATCCCACTCGAGCCTAAAGTGGCCATGGTCAGTGGGGAAGGAGAGGACAGGGGCTGTGGTAACAGCTTCTTTGAGGGCATGGAAGGCATCGTCTTCGCTCAGGCCCCAGTTCCAGGCCTGGGTCTTCCAGGTCAGCCTGTGAAGGGGGCGTGCCTTCTCAGAGAAGTCCCTGATGAACCGGCGATAGAAGTTTACGAATCCTAGGAAGGATTGTACCTCCTTCACCTTGGTTGGGGGTGGCCAGTCGAGGACTCCCTGGATCTTTACCGGGTCCATTGCGATGTTACCCTCCGAGATAACAAGACCGAGGTACTCGATCCGGGTTTGCTCGAACTTACACTTCTCCGGTTTAAGGAAGAGCCTCCTTCTCCTCAGTGTCTCTAGGACTTCACGGATGACCCTCCGATGTTCCTCCAGGGTGGCCGTGAAGATCAGGATATCATCCATGTAACAGATGACAACCTCCCAGTCGATGAAATCCCTCAGGATGTCGTTCATCATGGTCTGGAAGGTTGCTGGGGAGTTGCACAGGCCAAAGAACATCACCATGGGCTCGAACAGCCCTCGGTTGGTTGCGAATGCTGCTTTCCACTCGTCTCCATCCTTGATCCGGACGTTGTTGAACCCCCAGCATAGGTCCAGGGCTGAGAAGTACTTGGCATTGCGGAGGCGGGCAAGGACGTCCGAGATGAGGGTGAGCGGGTACGAGTTTTTTACAGTGATCTCGTTCAGCTTCCTGTAGTCCTGGACCAGGGGTAGTGACCCGTCCTTCTTCTTGACGAAGAAGACTGGTGCTCCCATACAGTTATTCACCCCCAAATGAGACACATTTTACCAATCTGAAACCTATTGTCACAACACTCCATTAAAAAATCCCAAAAATTTGTAAAGTACGAAGAAAACAAACTTGTACCTATGAGTGCCGATAATATGGAGAATGTTTCATCACAAAGTGAGTACGCAAGTAAGTATGAAATCGGGGTGTTCACCCCCCTATGAGACATGTGACATGGTGTGACATTGTGTTCAAGTGCTCATGCCAGACAGATGTTGCCCACTTCCACTGATTGTCCTGCATCCTCCAGTGATGTGAAGGGCTTGTTTTGTTGAAGCTGTGGATAATTTTCGGCCATCCACTCCCTCATTCAGACCTCCAGTGGCTTTGGTGGTGCTTTTTGTTTGAGTGCAGCCAAGTGTGCTTTTTCTTTGCGCCAGCTCGTTATTTCTGCCTTCTGTGAGTTGTTGAACACTTTCCACCGCTCCTTAGCCTCTTCCTTCCATCGTTCCAACTCTTGCTCATTTAATTTTCCCTGAGTGCACTCTGCTTGGTCCCTCAAGAAACCGTCATGTGTCACAACTCGGCCAAATGTCCCTTTAATGCGTCCACCATCCTCCTTCGACTTCTCTGCTTCTTCCTGCACTAAGAGCTGTGTCTGAGCTTTAGACACATACATTCCCCCTAATGCCAACTGGGCATTTGCCGCATCCACTGCATCAACGGCTCTCTCCACCAACACTTGGGCCCCCAAAACTTGTGCCGCATTTCTTGGTTTTCTTGCACTAATTCGAGGCAAGTCTTGGATCCTGAGTCGCGATTGTCTGCGAGATCCCATTTAATTGGGGGTAGATCACTAAGTTGGCCATATGCACATTCAGGAAGTTTGAATGTTGAATGGAGAGGTGAGGACACAATGGAATTTGTGGATGAAGAAAATGACATAATATGTTCTAGGTCATTGATGGCACGCTTCTTTGCTCGGGCATGAGCTGGGGGAAAGGTAAGAGTCTCATTGGGGCTGATGGTGGTATTCTCGGTGCTGAACATCATACACCCGGTGCCGGAAGATTGTGGTGATGCGTGGAGATTGTGGGTTGGGATGTTTGTGATTTGAGAGACAGCAAGCAAGGTGTGATTGATGATTGGTCCGTCACTTTCATCATCACTAACCTCATTGTCTGGAACATTACTTCCACCTAGGTACATTCTAACATCCTGCGAGTTGTCCATTGGTGAAGGTGTGCATTCCCGTTGGTATTTATGAGACATCAGCTGACTGTGAAAGTGCATAATGCACTTAACAGGTGAGGCCACAGGGAGAGGAAGATCTCCTTGGGTGGAATGTTCAATACTCGGTGCAAGTTGTTCTGGGTGGATGACACTTGGGTTGACTGGATAGACACCAGTTACGTGGAAGCTGGTGATAATGTGAGCTGGGGTTATGGTGTCTGTCCATGCTTGACCGAAGACTGATAGAAATGAGGATTTGTTTAGCTTCCTTGGGTAGTTTCGTAAATTAAAAGCGTCGCACTCCTTTGAGAAGCCCCACTTTAAGAGGGAGAATATAACAACATCAAGCCCCTGGAGAACATGTGTTGTGTGTGCAGGATAACATATAACAACAATGTTGTGGTTGTGTGCATATGTTATGGAGTCCAGACTGTAATGTGAGTTATGTCCATCCACTACCAGGAGACGGTAGCAGCCAGCAGCCTTGTGTTGTGTAGACTCGTTAAAGGTTTGAAGCCAGTCTAAGCCAATCTCATTGTCTGTCCACCCCTTTTCCGATACAGTGACTCTAGAACACAAAAATATGAACACACATTCCATGTAATGAATGGGTAACTTACGCGGCCTGCAAAGGATTATCCTTCAACCACTTTGAATTAACATTCTGCCCCTTAAAAATAACAACTGGAGGCACTGAAGTGCCATCTGCACAGACAGTCACAATCACACTGACATTCTCGCAATTCCCATCGTGTTGAATGTGTGCCCTTTTTGTCATCCTGCGTGCAAAGACCTTGACCCTTTCCCAGTCCCAAAAGGGAAGCCACTCTCATCCATAGCATAGACATCCTCATGTCGGAAATTGAAATGATTATACTGAGCTTGTAATAGTTGGAACCAGTGTTGGACAGCTGTTGGATTTACAGCACCACCCCAAGTACTTTCGAGATTGGCACTCCACTTGGGTTGAAGTCGGTCTTTGTTGCGTACTAAAAACCCATCAACCCAATTTTTGCCAAGCTTGGTGAGGGATGGGTGCCGTATCAGGGCAACTTCCAATGCATACTCAATTACACGATCGCAGGTTGCTGGGAATCCATGGTCGAACATAAGAAGAAGAAAGTCTACAAGTGTATCACTCTCCACCTGATTCAACCATGACTGGTTTATTGAGGCTTCAAGGCGACTTTTCCCACCATTGAGCCTCCGCATGAATGTCGGATAGGACACTCCACAATTGGAAGCATGTTCCTGAGCACTGGCCGCTTTTTCACCCTTCTGCTTTGCACATAGAATCTCAGTTCTGTATGAAGTCAGGGTTTTCTGCATGTGCAGCTCTGTTGCCTCAGCTGCAAGATGCCTACGGCACTCTAAGGAGTCCGCATGCCGGGCCATTTGACAAAACAAGCAAGCAAGGCAATATCGGCTCCAGGAGAGGCAGGATTGGTGATTAACTTTTTGATTGTTTGGGTAACATGTGTCAGAGTCTGGATTGCTGTCAGAGGCTGGGATATTGTCGGAGTCGGAGGTGATGCAGAGGTCTGTTGGAGCGCGCACGCGCGGATATGCGGGCGGAACTATGCGGCGCGTCCGGAAGCGCTGTTCAAGGTTAGCAGAGTGGGATCGCGGCCTCAGCGACTCAGGTGGAGCGCTGTGCCCTGAGCTTGACGTTTGGGGGAGATCCCATATTTACGGATTGACACTCACAGCGGACTTCAAACAAGACTTGCAGGCGGAGCGGACCTGTAGGAGGAGCGCGGACTCCGCGAGCACGGACTCAGAGGGGGGAAGCCCCTTTGCAGAAGAAGAGACTCAGAACAGACAGGGGGGTACTCTAGTTGATTTCAGACTGGGGTCCCCGAAAGTATTTACAAGGTAGATAAATAGGCAAGAGGGAATATAGAAAGGCCGGTCAGTCCGGCGCGGTCCGGCGCGGAGATAAGCGGGGATTGTCAAACTAAATAAGGACAAGAGCCCGGGAACTGGAAATGAGGAACAGATCACTAAACAATAAGTGGCAAGGGTTATTGATGAATAACTGAATGAGATCAATAACCTAGTGCCAATAAAGAGGGGATCAAATGCCGATATTGGCAGGGAAGCAAACAATAAATGGCACTCGGCAAGGAATGAATGATAAGCTGCCAAGTGACAAATGGCCAGAGGGAAAGCGGAGGTCAGCGCGCGGCGCCGATACAAGTCCGCAAATAAGCGGGGTCGGTGCGGTGCCGACACAAGTCCGCGAACAGAGGTTGATCTGCCAGCACTGTCACACAAGGACAGCATGAAGGCCAACAGAGGTACAGAGGTGGGCAGAGGGTGCGGAGTGGGCAGAGGGTGCGGAGTGGGCAGAGGGTGCGGAATGCACGGAAGCGGGGCATGGCTGTGACCACATAGCAGGAAGCGATGTGTGGTTCAGATGGAGACAAGGCAGGCATGACTGAATGCCGGGAGCACCAAGGGCTCAGGAACTGGAGGTAAGGTCGGAATACCGACAGGGTCTAGGTTCTGATTCTTGGCCAAGTCTCACACAGTAAGGCAGGGGGCCAGACATGGGGTTGGGGGCTGGTTAGGATGGGTTTCGGGTCGGCGGATTCGCCTATCGGCATTGGTTCGCCGCTGACGGAGCCCCGGGATTTGTCGGTCGTGACAACATGGATGAAAATTATGCTTCCGACTTAGGTTCCATGTCTCATCAAAACAAACAAACCCTAACACAAATAACACTGGCCTTTTGCCCACTGCCTAAATGGATGGCTGTTGGTGAGATGAAGACTGCAACATGAGGCCAGGGTGGTTAAGTTGCAAACATGGTGACTCTTCGCATTCAAGTTTCTCATGTTTCACCGATTTTTTCCTTTATTTCATGCCCGCTTGACACCAAATTTGGTACATGAGTAGTCCTAGCAACCACCTATATCCATGCCGAATCTCACCACATATGATAAAGAACTGAACAAGTTAGGTGATTGTTTCTCATTTGGGGGTGTGTCTCATTTGGGGGTGAATAACTGTAGGGGACTTGGATGGCTGTATGCACCTGTTCTGCAGGTTCTCGCATAGGAACTCATCCAGCTCTTTCTGTTCTGGGTGCGAGAGTGGGAAGGTTTTTCCCCTGGGCAGTTTGGTGTCTGGCACCAGGTCTATAGCGTGGTCCCAGGGCTTCCAGGGGGGCAACTGTTTGAAGGCTTCTTTGGAGAACACGTCCCGGAAGTCCTGGTAGTGCTTTGGTACTAGTGTCTCAAACGACGTGGGCTCAGCCTCTGGGTCGCAGGCCTCCTGGGCCATCCGCTGCAAGGGGGTCGTGGTGTATGAGGTCTCAGGGTAGCTCAGCACACAGAGCCGTAAGTGATACAAGTGTGTGTATTTTACGGTAGTGTGTAAGCAGTTACCTGGAGGTTCCCGCTTACCCATGTGACTATATGTATCTAATTACATGTGGCTTGGGGTTCGGGGCTATTGCCCTGACATGGTGGCCCTTAGGTCATGGCTCCAGCTTGGGGGAATGATTGCAGCGTAGATCCCATCCCCAGGCTCCAGTATAGGGTCCTGGTCATCCTGTACTCGCAGCTGTCTGCAGGAGGATGGGCAGCGGGACATGACGATCTTCTGTCATGCCCAGTCCACCTCTGGGTTGTGGTGCAGCAGCCAGGAGTGTCCTATGATGAGGGACTGCTGCCTGAGATTCGCAACTGCAAAGCATGCCCGCTCTGTGTGCCACCTGAAGGTCAGGAGGGCCTCTAGCTCCTCGGTTATAGCTCCATTCTTGTTCGGGGCTCCAGCGATGTTACGGACGGGAATGGGCTGGGGGAGGGGGGGTGTCTCCAGATTGTGCTTCCAGATGAACTCAGGGCTTACAAAGTTCCCGGTGGCTCCTGAGTCCAGGAGGGCTGATATGGACACTGACGCAAGGGAGGTTAGGGTGGTCAGTTTTACTGTGAGGTTGAGAGACCTGGGGGACTGTTTGGAAAGGATGTAAATGGCAGGGGGGGAGACCACTACTTCAGGTGTTACTGCCGGGTCTTCTCATTCTCACAGGTGGAAGGTGCGTTTCTCCTCTTTTTCTTTGCAATGACTTGATGAAATTTTGGCATTGGCATTGGCTTATGCACGCTGTGGTATTTACACAAGCTATCTTCTACGGGTGGCCGGGATGCATCCCTCACCGGTCGCCTGCCTGAAAATCCCTCTGAGGTTCCGCCTCTGGTTCCTCCTCCACTGTCTCTGCCTCTTCAGTCAGCTGTCTCTTCAGCCCTTCCATCAGCACCCTTAGGTCTTCCGGGTGGAGACGTCGTACTCGGCTGGCCCTGGGGTGTGGGCACCCTTGTGTGAGATGCCCTGGGGTGTTACAGTTGTAGCACTGCCTCTGGTCAGTCCTTGACCTGTCGAGGTCCATTGGCTGGGGGCCTGTCCCTGATGCAGGACGGGCTGCTGGAGTGGGGGGCG